GGATTTCACTCTTTTTTTTTTTTTTTTAGTATAACCCTGAAACATTTCTGATAGTTAACATTTTTGACTAGCTTCGTGTACGATACTAAGAGTTTTAGTATAGGGAAACTTTTTTTTATTCCTTCGTGTTATGTCAACCACTACAGGTCTATCAAACGGTCTCTCTCCTCCTCTTAGTCTATTTGGTGGCAGTCCTTCAGTAATAAGTCCTTTTATATTCAGTAACAAGCAGGAAAGCTTCAAGCGGGAGTTTTGTTTTCTTTTTGGCCAAAGTTAGTCGAGAGAAGAGAGAGTTTACGATTCGAATTCTTAGTTTGACCCCAGTTGCACTAGCTTTCTCAATAACCAGTATTACCTTTATGTACTTCTGTTTCTGTTATTATTTTACTTTTCCTTTTCATTGTTTATTAAATATCGTTAATATGTTTACTTTAAAATTTTAAAATCATGAATTTTTGAAAATACTTATTCAGGATTAAGTACATTGTAGCAAATTTCGATCACTTACAAAAAATGAGTTGGGGCACATTCTGTAGCAATAACTTACCTGTGACTTACTTTAGACGTATCTGTTTTAGACACATTAAGTTAATGTATCTGTTTAACAGCAGTTGTTAGCCATTTCTAGAATGTTATTTCTCACACATATAATATCGAAACGTAACTGAAACATAAAGGGAAATGCCTGAACAGATTATGTCCTTCATTAAACATGCCAATAAATGTGTGGAATGGACTATCGCAGTTCTAAAATTTTACATTTCATAAGGCTGTTGTTCAGATGTAGTCAGCCACATGAAATCTAACACAGCATAACAGTGTTGCTTAAAGTAAATATATTATCAAAAATTTATTATGATTATCAGAATTTTCTCAGATGTGAAAACCCTGAGTTATTACAAGCCAGAACATAACTATAGTTTTAAATTCATGAAATGCATATTCAGACGGGAAACAAACGTTCTAACAGTAAATTCATGAAAACGTACGGAACAATAATCACAAATATTTGCACCGAATATATTATTGAAGAGCTAAATGAAGCTTCTTTAACTCTAAAACATGTATTAATCCTTCGTTGTTGTATTGATAACACGGGAACAGGCACCTAGGATGCGGTTTCATCAAACCCCTTGGATATAAAGTTAGCTGTTATGGTCTTGACATTTTATCACGCAGAAAAACAGTTAACTGTGAAAATGTTGGAATTAGTGAATTTAGACTGAAATTTTAGAACTGTTATTTTCTTATGTATTCTGCAAATGAAAGTTAGATAGCTTTGAAAAGTTATCAAAACCATTTATGAATTTGCCCAGTATATGCGCATAAGATTTAACTTCTGTTAGATCTCCTTGAATTGCTGTATTGGCAGATACGACGTTTATAAACTTTAGTGGAAAGAAGAGAAAATTAAGGAATAACATCTATCTCGAAATGCATGAAAATGCAGTGAACATTTAATTTTTATTAGTTATATTGTACTTATGACACAACTGGTATATAAAGAGTTATGGATCCTTTATGTCTTGATCCTATGTTAATTTGGTAGATTCGCAGATTATGGGAAAGCATGCAAGATCAGCTTGCTTTCAAGAGACGGCTTGTGAAAATCCCCCTTAAAATATTGCTAATATTCGTGTACACATGGAGAAACCATGAAAATCACCTGCAGTTAGCCATTTTCTGGGAACCGAATCCGAAACCATGTACCATTGTTCAGTGGTCTCATACATTCAACTCTGATAGGCATCTTTAATAAAACGTTATAAGATTTTCGGTATTTTCCCATTTGTTACACCTGAGTTAATAAACTCAAATCATTTTCCGAATTTATCAACACGTAGTATACAAAAACTGTTGTGGGTAATAGGAAGACAAAATGACCTGCAGCACAGATACTGAATTTTTTCCCGCATTAACGTTATTTTTTTTCCGTTGAAAAAAATGCCTTATATTAAGACTGTTTTGAGTAGCATCAATAGGTTTGTTAGTAGCTTTATTGTTAGTAGCTCAGATACAGCTAGCTTTCATGTCCAGACATAAAAACCATTTTTACCATCAAAAAGTATGTTGAAAATACAGAGATAACTATGACTGATATGAAGAATGAAATAAACAGCAATTATAATTAAATTGCAGGAAGTAGGAACGTTTTTGCTGGTTTAAAACATTGTAGTACAAAATATCGTGTAAAAAATAAAGCCTCTACAAATCATCGAATAATGCTTTCTGTCTGAAAACTTATAACTGAATTTTCGCTTAATGTTTGGCAGAAGAAGTGAAAATAAGTAATATACTCGAATCTACCTCTATGTTTTACAAATTTTGTATTAACCAATAAATTTTTACTGAAAAAAGCGAAAAGGAAAATTGATCATTTAAAATCTGGGAATTAGTAAGGATTAATGCTACGTACAGCAGTTATTAGAATATTGAGCTTAGTTATCTTCCTCTTTCTAATCTTTTTTATGTTATACATTATGAAAGTCCACTAATGCGTCTTTATAGGAGACACTAATTAAGTAATGAATTTTAATAATTCGCAAAATAAGTTTAAAGTTCTATTAACTGCAATGGGTAGTTTATTAATTTCCAAATTCTGAATGCTGAAGTTTCCTTCTTTCTTTTTCAATAAAAATTTATCAGTTAATACAAAAATATTAAATATGGAGGTAAAAATATTACTTACTTCATGTGTTCAGGAAATATTACCCAAATTTTCTAAAGAGTTTTATAGTCAGAAAAGCATGTTTACAATGTTATCATGACACGATAATTTGTAGTTGCTTTATTTTTTACGACGATGCTTAAACCTGCGAAGTAATTGCACCGCTTTATTTTTCTGCCACGATGTTTTCTCCTTGCTTTGTTCCCCCCCCCCCGCGATATCTTGTACTAAAAGATTTATAGGATCCGTAGATTCAAACATCTGATTTCTAATTTTCTTGTATTAGATGAGTATTCGAAAACTAATTTTTTGAAGCAAAATATTTTGTTATTAGCTGTCTGTTTTCTCTGATATAAAGGCCTCCCAAAGATATAAGCCCACCAGCGGCCGAGCAATAAAGTCGCTGAACACTGGTAGTTCGGTCTGAGGTTCGAATCTCGCGAACGGGCTGGCTGCATGGGTATTTTCGTGGTTTTTCCCATGTGTAACGTGTATACGAGCCAGTTGCCCTTAGAAAGTCCTTCACGAAGGCATCCCCCCTCAGGCAGATAGCCCTCGAAGCTTTGCCGTAATTGAATAACCTAACCCAAAGATATAAATATATTTTCATTAGTAACTACAGGAAAGCGATTGAATTTTGCAAGGAAAAAAATATCGTGGCTGTTACCGCAGCAGCTCGAAACGTCAAAAATTATTAAATAAAGAAATAAAAATAAAAACAGAAAATCCAATTTTTAAAATAAAGCTCCATTTAGTAACATAAAATAAGTGTAAATTAAGGAGCACAAAGGCAAATATTTCGCAGACGGTATCGACACTTAACAGTTTGTTTTCCCTCCTCCTGAGGCTTATAGTAGTAACAAAGACTGTATTTAACATAACCTAGTTAAGAGTCTCATATTAAAAATTTTATCGCTTAGAATATTTACTTTATTTACGAATTTTTATTAGCTAAACAGTTGATGTTTTATTGACTTCGATGAAGGTCCTTTTAAGCAGTCTTTTCTTGAAAATACATATATATTGCTCAGATTATCTTCATTAGAGTTAATAGAAAGGTGTTAGATATATCTTTTCCTTTATCAGTTTTCAAAAAATCATTGACCAGATGAGAAATTATTATTTAACGATGTTTTTTGTCCCATTTGTTCATGACAGAAAATGGATATTGCTCGTTAACTTAGCATTTCTTACTACTGATAAATTAAATTAATGATAAAGAAAATTTTCAGTAGGTATTTAACTGATCAAAATGGGTCATGTAAAGGGTTTACTTTGGTTGCTTTAATTAGTGCAAGAGCTATCTGGCAAGACAAAGATACCTTCGTGGAAGACATTTTTAAGGGGAACTGGCTCATATTCAAGTTGTATGCTCGCACACAAAGACTTGGGCTCTTACACAAGCATTTCAAAATTAAAACCTATTGAAATTTAGATAAAAATACTTCTAAATTATTAGACTGAAAAAAAATATTTTTCGAAATGTAAATTTTAATAGCAGTCTTTCTAAAGCAAATTAAAGAAATCCAAATGACGTTTTCAGCTACTTTGGCTACATATATATTAAATATTTTATATCAAATTATTTTATTTAATTATTACTTTGGCTACATATAAACATATTATATTTAAGCTACATATAATATATTATATTTCAACCATATATATTAAATATATGTTTAAAAAGTTTTTTATCTTAAACTATAGCTCAAATAAACTCTTAACGTTTCAAAATAGTACTATTATCAAATATCTCCAAATCTCTAACAGATTATTTCATAACTGAAAACGGATTGAACTAAGACTATATGTACGATACATATAATATCAAAGACATCCTATCTCTTACTTATCTTGTTCTTATGAACTAATGATTATTTTATTGCGATTTTCTTTCATAATACGTAAAACAGACGATGAAGTTAAAATAAAGCATATAAACGCATAACTGTTTACGTAATTCAATAATAATGTAACAAATAAAAAAAAATCAAATTTCCTTTCCAATTTAGATACTTTACTGCTTGTACAAAATACATTTCATTTACTCAGCGTTTAGTATGAAAACCATAACTTTAACTAGAAACTTATTAGTTAATAATATAAGGTCATGCATACCTGTAAAGATATTTGTGATATCAACTCTTTCTCTATTCCGAAAGTATTAATTTTAAATAAATTTCATTAGAGTAAGTTACAAACTTGAATGAAATAACGGAACATACTGAATTTCACTACCTTAAAATTGAATTAAGTACAAAAAATAGCATCGGTTGTAGTAACTGAATTAAAACCTAACTTCTAAATTTTTCGAATTAGTAAGTCCACTTACCTTTGGTAACAAATATTTCTTATTTCTTCTCAGAAAGAGTTATATCCTGTATCGTTAAACACTCTCCCTATTAACAAATAAAAAAATAAAATGGTAGTCCTTGTGTTTGGGTTTCTGAGATAGCTTTAATCCTACCAAATCGGCGCTTCTGCAGCAACGGACAACTGAGCACAGCTTGGAAAGTGAAAGGGACTATATGAAAGAGTGAGTGCAGTCGCTGGAACATGTCTCATTCTGAAAGATACTAAGTGTGCCTCAGGCAGGTGACGGAAATCTTGTAGGTCACGTAAAATGAGGACAGTGCATTGCGAGAACGTTTGAAATTTGTTTCTTCTATTTAGTTCTTCATGCAAAATAACCTGAACTTTCAACTTGTATTCTTTATTACCAACTTGTACTCTAGAAGTCAGTTGATTCGTTTGAAATATTAACCTTTAAGACCTATTTACTAATTTACCCCGAAAACATGTCGCGGCATATTGTACGCAGTTAATTTTTATGTGTTTTTATGTGTTTATTATAATAAATAAAAGAAAGTCTCAGGAAATCAGTTATAGATTTCGTATATTTCTGAAACATAATTAGGGCCATTGTTGTACATGAACAGACGATTTCTAGTAGTATATATGTATGTATAATTATTTGGTAAACAAATATAAACTCAAATTTAGTATAAATTTACTCTATAAAAATTTCAGTTTTTATTTATTTACAGAATAGCTGTTTATAATGAAAAGCATCGTTTTTAATTAATATAATCGAAGGAGTATTCTACTGCAGAAACATTCTTATGTAATATAAATAGGAAAGAAGGAAACATTATGTTATGTTTCGTTTAGAAGATGGAAATTGATTTTTTTAGGGTGACTGAAATGTATTTTAAGCAGCTTGCTCGCATTTAAAATAGTTTGTAACATCCTCAGCTGCATCGTCATCAGTGGGTTGGTGGGAAAGAATTAAATAAATAATAAAGGCCAGCTTCTGAGTCGATAAATTAAAGTTACAAATATTTAATTTAATGCTTAAATTATTAATGTTAAAATTTAAAACGCAAATTAAAGTTAAAAATTTTAAGTTTGAAAAAATTCTTAGAAATACAATTAATGTAGTCTACGCCTTTATCAGTCTAACACTGACAGATTGAAGTAAGCAGTACCAAAAAAGCAAAATTATAGTATCAAAATCAAAATCCAAAAATTGAGAAATAATTGACAAATTAAAAAATATAAATATTTTGAGTAGATCGAATCCCAAAACAAAACTTGGAAAAGATTAATCTGATACTTGTAAAAAACACATATGCAAGTTTTTTACTTCGAAATTGGAAATAAGAAATCTATACGCAAATTTTGAAAACATACAAACCGGGTTAAAAATAGCATAAATCATAAATAAGCAAAAAGGCATAAAAATCTAGTAAAAATATTTTTCATTATGAGTGGATCGAGTCTTAAAACATGGAAAACAGAAGTAATCCAACATATGCAAAAATGAAAGAAATAAATGAAAATGTTACCTAAAATATACAAAATACAAAATAAAAAATAGAGATATAAATTCTTAAAAACTGTAACACAAGGACATCAAAAGTTTTAAAAAGAAAAAAATCAAAAGAAAAAAATATATATACGCGTGAATAGCAGAGAAGCCTAAAATGTGTTAAGTAATGAAATTCGATAAACAACAAATTTTAAACATTAAACTCAATAAAATAATTAGAAAAATCTTCTATTGTAACCCAAAGAAGAATGAAGTAAAAATGAATAATTTGAAAAGAATTACCTGGATTAGTCCTCTATTTTTTAGATCAAATTTTCAATTGTTTCTTTTATTTTTGAATATGTTGTATTACGTCTGTTCTCCATGTTTTAACACTTGGTCCACTCGTATTGAAAACAATTTTTATTAGATATTTAAGCTTTTTTTTTGCTTGTTTATGATTTATGCTACTTTCTAACGTGGCCTGTCGATCTACTCGAAACATGTTTTTAACTTGTCTATTATTTCGCAATTTTTTGACTTTGTCTGTGATTTTGATGCTATAATTTTGCATTTATAGGGGCAATTTTGCATTTATTTTACATTTGCTAATATACTGTTTACTTTTGCTATTATACTGCCTGTAGGGGTGGACTGATAAAGACATATTACTTCGATTGTTTTTCTAATATTATTTATAAATCTTAAATTTTAAACTATAATTTGCGTCTTCTTCGGTTCAGAAACAGGCTGTTTTATTTATTTACTTCTTTCGTAGCACCACCCTTCTGATGACTATGCAGCGAAAGGTGTAAATTTCATTTTCAATTTTGGTTTGGCATATTTTTCCCCTCTATTTCTTGCAGTTTGCCACTGTGTTTCTGCTTGTGGTTCATCCAAATTGAATATGGGATGAATTTTAAACTTATTTCATATTTTCTTATTTTCCATTATATATAACCTTTTTTTGAGTTTTAATGGTAATGTTTCAATATGTTTGTTACAGAAAATGGGTTCTGTTTAAAAAAAAAGACTTTCTTCATTACCTAATAATCATTTACTCATGCTAAGAGTTTTTAACATTTGATAAAATGGCACCAAATGTAAAATTTCAGCTGAGACCAATTATATATTATGTTCTTTATTTAATTTTAAAATCCATTTCTGATATCTTTATTATTATTAAGGAATCTGGCTTCCATCTAGGTTTTGAATTAAGTAGACCTCCTTATACAGACAAGCTGTTCCAAGGTAACAAGACTGATAATCGACATCGAGTAATTTCTACTTGAGTGTGAGACTGAATTTTCAACATGAAAAACATGATCGCTACGATTGGCCGAAGGTATAATCACTGAGAGTGACGTTAGCGCTTTTAGTTATGTAATTTAACTTGATGGAAGTAACTACTTTCACTATCATAAAAATGAATATCTTTTTTTTTTTTCGTCCCAGAAATTTCCCAGCAGCTTGAACCTAAATTGCCCATTAGCTGAAGTAATTACTCAATGTAGAAACCCCATGAGATTAAGAGAATGGAAAGATATGTTTCTTCAACTTAATCGTATAAAATTTATGTAACCTCCTTTTCTTTCAGAATCTTGAATACCGTTTACATCTAATTTTGAAGTATGACTTACAATTCTCCTTGAGACTATGTTTAACAGAGTTTCCAACATCGTTCTCTGATTGGGTGTGTAGTCTTCGCTAAAAATGTTTTACTAACTTTGGAAGCATAAATCACATTTTTACAGGTTTATTTATTACAAAGTTGAATGCAACCTTACTGATAGTAATACTGCTGATAAATTTCAAAGATCTCTTTTTTAAATGCATAATAAAATTATCTTTAATGGAAAGTAACAAAATTTTAAATAAAATATTTATCTTTATGCAAGGAAAAATGTTTCTTATAGTTTGAAGAAGGGACTGCATTTATTTTAGTTATAAATAAAATACTGTTATACTTAATCTTTCCTTTCTTCTCTAAATATTAATAGTTTCAAATACATAATCATAAATGTTTCAATTTTCAAGACGTATTTCTGGGATCCTGAAACAGTAAATCATCAGAAAATCTCCTTAAAAAGTCTCGGAAAGAAAACACTGCATTTTTCTAAAACTTAAATTTCTCTGTAATTTTCCAAAAGCCTAAATTTAGTGATTAATGCAAGAAATCAGTACTTGAGGAAACCGGGATAGCAGGAAGATTATATTGAGTAAAATCTGTCGAGATAATATGAATTTCCCGAAACCCATAAAATAAAGTTTCCTGTAAGGCTAGTCTTCGGGACTAAAGGATCAATCGCCATTCAAGAGTAGATTTTGAATACGCAAAACATATAATTTCAAGTGTGCATAACTACGTTTCCAAAATGCATATGTTTTGAAAAACATTCCTAATACGCGTTTATGTAAATAATGCTAATATGGCATTTGATAAAAAAGAAGTGAAAGAGAATTCTGAAATTAAATACCTGTTTATTAATGTGTCACTGTGTGAAGGGTGCATCTGGTCAGATTACATAAGTAGAGCGCTAATTTCAATTAGGTTACTTTATCAAGATCAAATCCTCTCCGTCTCATAGTTAAACGGAAATTAATGGTAACTTGTTAGCAGTTTTCTATACTGAATGATAGAGCCAAACAGCGATATGAAAAGGCCTTTCTCAAGTTTTCTTAACTACAGCTCCCTTGGTTGCACTACCCTTTTAATAACGTCTTTACCCTTTTTTGTACGAACACATTTAATGCATATGAAGCTATTTTTATGCTATACGGTATAAATATGTGTGTAATGTATATGTGTATTATATATAGAAGTATAGTTGTGATTTATTTATGCATAAGTATATATATATATATATAGTGAGAGAGGGAGAGAGAGAGAAAGAGAGTGAGAAAGAGAAAAAGAATAAAGCAATAAAGCTAAAATATAAAATTACAAAATATAACAGACATTTTATACAAACCTACGCGCACTTATATTTATATATATGCACAGTGTCCAAAACAATTCTTATCCGGCCTTTATTTTCGCAACCCTTGGTCGTAGACATCTATTTTAAATGACAAAAATGTTTTAAAGTACTCAAATATTCATGTTTGGGCACTTTAAAATTTAAAGATATCAACTTTTTAAAATTATGAAATTGAACTTTTCCTACGTTCATCTGAACCATATTCTATTATTCAGGAAAATGCTGTGTTCTCTATCAAAAATAAAATACAGGAAGTTTGACACAACAAAGTATACTTGCCTCAGATCATCTGCCACTGATAAAAATTAACTAAGATATTTAATTTTAAAATTTACTATTTTTGACGTCATATTCAATTTGCTATGAGACGTCGGTTCATAAATAAATTAGAATAATTCGAGATCGATTAATTCCCTTTAAATGCAATGATATTGTTTTATTATATACTAGTGCCTTTAATTTCCAGTTTTGTTACATTAAGCATACAAAAGAAAATTTCACACAAGCATCTTATTAATTTTCAATGTCTAAAAACAGATCGTTAATATTCTCGAAACGTTTTATGCCTTTAGCATTATAACCTAGCTAAACATTCATTAAACTGCATATATGTTTCACGCTTAGATAATACAAATAACATTACAATTTGGCTGTGCAAGTCTAAAAAATTTGCGAATAAGATCTCTATTTTGAAAACCTTTCATTGATCAATACCTTCCACAATAATCTGCCTAGAAACGCCCGTCACTTAAACTTTT